GGGGTAGTCCAGCCAGGAGGACCCCGACTGGATGATCCTGGTGTGTTGTTGGATGTTGTTGGTTTTGAATGACTCTTTCCTCATGGCTGGGGTTGAGATGCTTTGTTGGTGCGGTGGCTTTCGGGATTTGGCGACAACAAATTGCAGTGACTCTGTCAGGAATTATCTCGGTGGTGCAAGAGAAGGAAGTGCAGGACAATGCTGGGGTCGCACTGAAAGTATGGCAAATCTTCGACATTCTCCACGAGGAGCAGATTTTTCGCCTCTTGGGCGAGCAAAGGATGTTGGTCCGCGAGCGAAGGAGTTGGCGCGAAACGGCGTGCGGTGGAAGCTTGGTACACAGAATCTAGCGATGCCTTCTTGCTCCGTTCGTAGTGAGGCCTGGAGCTACTAGTAGCTTCTTGTTACGTTCGTAGCGATGCCCTTGTTACTAGCAAGTATCCACAACAGCCCTAGGATTCCTGGCCCTACCAGTAATTTGATGTTTGTTGTTGCCGAACAACCCTTGTTTTACAATGGATTTTAGGCAACAACCCCAGGTGAACCTTTCTTTTAAAGGTCTTTGAAGCCTAGGGCCTAGGGAAGTGGAAGCAAGTGGAAATGTGGGAAGAGCCGTTCTCCACACCGTTCAGCCAATTTGTCAGGATTAAAAAGAGATCGATGCATTCACCATTGAGGATGTCGATTATAAGGGTACAGTTGACCTAATATAGTCTGCTTGTCCTGAAGAACCCTGCAACACGACCCACTGGAGAAATGCGGCACCTTACCTTACCCCCTTAGCCGCCATACGTCACAGTTTGCAGGTACACGTACCTGGCTACATTCTTGTTCAAAAAGCTTGTGAAATCCATTTCTATCTGTGACCTTAGCTAGAAACCATTTCGGAAACCGTTGTAATTTCCCGTGAAGGAACCAATCGGCTGAGGGAAGATCCTCGAAGAGGACTTGAAGGACATGAGCTGGTGGCAAGCAGCCCTGGTTATAGCAAGGGTGGGCGCTACGGTGGCCTCGTGGTATGCCAGTGGCACTGCGTCCCTTTGATGTCAAATTGGGCGGGAGAATCCTTCAGGCCCTACCTGGATAGTCCTAGTAGAAGATCCAAATGACTCCAAATGGCTAAAATATGCAAAAACATGTAAGGCGTTTATGTGTGCCTTCGGAGGTTATAAGATACAGGAAGCTATATCCTTTTGGCTTGTGCTGTTCCTCCCTCGCTCCTGGGTGGATGGGCATAGCATAGTTCCTACAGGATGAGACGATGTGTTCTCATGCGGAGACTGCGGAGACAAATTCTACATTCACGCTACTAGGAGCGAGGGGCATCGCTACCAGGAGCAAGCACGCTACGAACGGGGCTCCTGGCCTTACTAGTAGGAACAAGAAGCTACTAGGAGGTCTTTGAAGCTACTCGTAACTAGAAGCGTCCTTGGGAATCGTTTCACCTGTAGTAACAAGAAGCTACTAGTAACAAAGACACCCAGGGTGTGGCTGAGAGACGCTCCAGTGATGACACTCGTTTTGGCTCAGAGGGCAGAGGATCTCCCCCGGGTGATGTTTGCACTCCAAGAACATTTCCTCACTCTAAACTTTCCCTTCTCACTCTCTACGAACGGCATCTAACGAACTCTGAACGGAAAAATATCAATTTGGCCCTGTTGCTCCAAATGGATGGAAGACGGATCCCTTAAGTTAAGCCTGCCATGAGTCAACCTGGTTTTGCAAAAAAAGACAAAACCTTTCAACATGCATTCAAAACGCATTCCCCATCCTCCACAAAAATGTGTATTTGGATTTTTTCCCCATCAGCCACAAGATGGTAAATTTTTGTTTTTTCCTGAAGCACCTGTTCAGTCCATGTCATTCCCATTCTTTGCTTCACCGGTGACACCGGTGACACCAACACTTTCTTCACCTTCCCCCTTCCCGTAGGTTGCTGCTGCTGCAGATCGGCCTTGCGGTGCCCAGCGCCGTGGACCTCGTCGAAGGACTCAAAGACGTCCACGGTGAGTGTCATGTCTTCTGAGCCGCTGACAGAGGGACCTCCTCCACGCGAAGAACGCGCGAAGAACGCGCGACCGCGACCGGGTCGCAGTGCTCCAAAGAAAAAGCGTTCGGAGCGGTGGGTTGGGGGATGGGGGCGGTGGGTTGGGGGTGGGCGGGAGCGTTATTCTCAAGGTGAGTGAGTCGAAATTTGAGCTGGCAGATGTTTGTGTGAAAGTATGTGAAAGTGGGCAGTACTCGAAGCCCTCGCTGGACATCATGATGCCAATGCCATTGCATCAGCCGTTTTGGGTCGTTCGCTGGACATCAGCCGTGTGCGTGGATCGTTTCATACGGCCAAACCCACCGGTTCGGCATCCATGGCCAAACCGTCCTCCTATGCGCCTTTGACCACAGAGCTGAAGAGCATTGACGGCCCAGGCGGTCAAAGCTGGTCAACGGGACAAGAGGTGGACAAGGATTGGGACAACTACCTGCATGGCTTCAAGGCACAGTGGTTTTGGTTGGTGGTACTTTATTGTGCTCCTCCCGGGCTGATCTTTGGCTATAGCATTGTGATGTCTGCATGGTATGGGTCATGGTGGAATACCAGTGGTAACGAGCCGTACGAGCCGCGGCCAGCAGAGATTGGTACATTGTACAATCCTGTCTTCAACTCTTTGCCGGTCATTCTGAAGTCACACATGACTTTTGCAGTGCCCATGTTGGGCGGAATTTTGCTACAAGTCGTTTTGGCTTACTTTGGTGTGATCAAGAGCAATGTCAGTGCCATGAAGGGGCATGCACGTTTCGGTTCGGTCCTGCTCGTGATCATCCTTGCTTGCGTCGGTCTTGGAACGCTATCGCTGTGGTTCTGTGATGTGCAGAACAAACGAGGAGCAGAGACCATGTTCTTTGTGATGATTGGCTTTGGTATCATGGCTTCAGGTGTTCGTGGTATTGCCTTTGCATCCCAAGGACTCCATGGTTTGCACATGCAGTACATGGCCTTCACCGTTTGTTTGATCTTCACACCAGGCTTCAATCGGATCACCACAGTCTTGGTGAGACACATCTATAGCATCTTCCAAGAGGACTTCAGCCAGCAGTGCTTCGTAGCATCCACCTATTCTCCCATTGGCTATTACTGGACCTGGTCCTTTCTCATGGGCATGAGCTACATGGCTCTTCTCTGGCTGTGCCCCTGGAGTCCCGCCAAAGTGCCCTTCTTTAAGGTCTATAGCTTTGGCTTCTTCTACGCCCTGCTCATGGGCGCCATCATGTTAGCCTGCCTGTTCCAGGCCTTGTTCCTTTGGTGGCCCGAAGTCATGGAGAAGATTCACCACGGCGTCCTGGTGTTGCTTCATTAAGGTGATTTTTGTGATTTTCCCGGCTCCTGGGTAAATCCCCAAACATCCTAACCTGGGGTATATCTTCTACTTGTTTACCATGTTTCTGGGAGCCGCAAATCCAAAGGCTTGGATTGCTCACCACAGCGGCTGGAAGCCTGGCGCCACTTCGCGGCCAACTTGCGGAACAGCAGCCTCTTCGACCAGTCGCACGCAGGAGGGCTCTGCACGGCCTCGAGGCCCTTCGACTCGGTCAGCCTCTTTGGTGGACGATTCCGTCAGCCATAGATGGAACGAAGTGGGGTTCCCTGGTACGAAGTGGTGGGTTCCTTGGTGCATGCACAGAGTTGGTTTGAAAAGGCATGCACTATATAGACACGGAGCCTCAAGTTGTATAGATTATGGTGTACAGATCTGTGGGTTTTTGTCCAAAGCTCTCTGGCTTTTGATGTCAAGAGTGAAAGAAATCCTCAGACGCTTCATGTAAAGTTGGGCGCCAGAGCTGACTGCTGTCCGTTTCAAGCCTCACTGGCGAGTGAACCCATTTTTGTGAAAAAAAGTGCGGCCGGGAGATGTGGAGGCTGCAGTGCAGTGGTCCTGGCACGGACTGGCAGAAGCGTGAAGCCACAGTGGACTGGACTCCTGAAATCAACCACCCCAATGTATGTAAGCGTGCCAGTTATGTCAAAAACCATGTGTAATTTTACACCTTTGTTGGGGTCGGGAAATGCTGGTCCCCAGTGGAGGACCGAAGCCGGTTGCTTCGGCGGTCTCTTGGTGGAAAACACGGACCATCGAATATCCGACCGTATATTCTCTCGCAATTGACCAGGGGCCCGAACCAAACGATGCAAAACAAAGGGTTATAAAGGGTTTCATGGTTTTCACATTAGCACAAACCATGTGGTTTTTGCTAGGGAAACACCTGGTTTTTGAATGTTTTTGTGAATGGTTCAATATCCATAGACAGGCCGAAGGATCGCCAGAAGTACATTCAACTCGTCGATCGCCAACAGGCTTCTACAGGGGGCACACAGTCTCCGTGAAAGCAGTCTCACAACGACGATAGAAAGATCAACTGAGTTGCTTGAAGGATGTTTGAAGCCAAACAAGCTGTTTTTTGCCAGAGTTCTATTGTTGGCTTGAATTTGGGGTCATGATTCCAAGCCATTTTTTTTGTCCATGACCCACCCCTCTTTGAACGCCTTCTTCAGAAGCTCGCGCTCCGCAGAAAAAAGGACGAGAAAGGCGCTCGTCACGTTCTCGGGCCGCGGGTGGAAACCCTTCGGTGCTTCGCCCTTCATCCCAAAACCGAAAAAAGGTCGGACGGTGGCGAGTCTTGTTCTCTTCCTCTCAGAAGCACCGCACCCTCACGGCGTCCGCGGTGGAGAACACGGCATGTGGTTCTCCCCCGCCAGAAACGGCCTGCTCCAAACGGCCCGTTGAACGGTGCTGAACGGTGCTTTGCCCAGGGCAAGCTTAAGTTGCCCCGAAACGGCGTCGAAACGGCCAGTGAGCATCAGTCCACTTCAGGCCAATGGAAACGGCCTGACTCCGGACTCGCTTTCCCTTGTGTCGAACCGTGCTGTGCCTCCACGTCCGGACGTTCAAGCACAGCTGGACGGCCGATGGATGTGGACGACGGACGTCACCGTTGACCGTGCCGAGGTGACGATCGACATTTGGACGACCTCGTCACAGACCTGTGAGGTGCGGGCGCTTCGGGGAGCTCACCAGGCACCAAGAGTTCAAACAGAAAGAGAAGGCGATGTGTGGACCCCGAAAAGAGCCAAGAAGATGCCGGGACCAGCTCAGTGATTCTTCTTCGGATTGTGTGTGTGGCTTCCCTCAACTCTATAAAGCCTGACAAATCTCATGCGGCGAGGTCAACCGGGCCAACCACCCAGCCCATCCGAAAAGCCAAACAAACGACAGCATTCCGGCAGTCACTCTGGGTGAGGGCGTACGATCTCAGCCTGGAAAGCATACGCCGCTTCGCACGCCGGCGGACGGTGGACGGCGACGTAGCCTGGACCGTGGTTTCGTTGCCGCCAGATACATCACACCATCCAGACCGAGAAGCCGAAAGAGGAGCCGGGAGGGTGGTGAGGACAGGATGGAGGTCCACGCATCATGTGACCACCTCCCTTTTTGTTTGATAGGGAGATATAGGAAGTCTGGGCATATTTTTGCAGAGTTGATCCTCCAAACCAGAAGTCATCGAGTTTCTTTATTGTTTTGACAGAAGTTGGGCCAGGAGGTTTGTCTTTGGAAGGTCTTCGTATGGATGGAAGGTTGCCCCACCCAAAGATTCACGGATTCACCATCCTTCACACTCAGAGTACCATTATGGGAATAGTTGTTGGAACCACTCCTTGCGGTGTTTGCGGTTCTCCGTGGCCGAGACCCGGCTCCTCTGCCTCAGCTGGACAGGACCGGTCGAATACATCCGGATTCGATGCGGTGCCCTTTGTGCCAGGTGCAAGTGGAATGGTCAGGACCCATCGCCTGCATGTCAGCCAGGAGCCCAGAGGATAAAAAGAACCGGAGATGTGCCGTTTTTCCTCTGGAATCACGCAAACACTGAGCCAGGGAGCAAAAACACGGAGGAAGAAAACGCCGACGTTTATTGTGAGGGCTCCAAACTTGAGTCGAAGGATCTCCGGTGTTCTCCGAATCTTTTGTGTGCGCGTTCGTTCGTTCTTGTTCGTTCGCTGAGTCTTTGTTCAGGTGTTCTGAAGATGTTGCCTTGTTGGTCCCGTTCCTTCGTGTGTGCTGCCTTGCTACATGGCTTTGTCATCATATACCCCTTATCCTTATCTAAGGATCTAAGCGTCAGATAGGTCAGGGATCCCGTGTCATGAGAAGAGACCGAACGGGTGAAACACTCTCAGGGCCACCTTCGACTGAACTCCTGCGCACCATGGCCCGTCGAGTTCCCCGAGTCCCTTCTTGGCCGCGCGCCATGCGCCATGCGGCGCATGGTCCAGGTGCATGTGGACCAACGCTGGGCCAAGCAGCAGGTGTCGTGAGAAAGACCTGTGAAGAATGAGATCCATCAAGCGGTGAAGCATTCCCCCCTAAAATGGTCCCCTATATATGTTGTGAATGTGTGAATCATTTGCAGATATTTGCAGAGGCATCAGAGGCCCCATTTATGCCCCTGTAATAGTGGTCCTTTTGGATGTCCTTTTGGTCTGATTTGCTGGTTCTATAGACTTACATGGTTTTGTTCTCCATGTCAGCGTTTCACGTCCCCTTCCGCCGCGGCTTGCCACTGGGGCTTGCCACTGCGCGCAAACGCACGGCAGGAGGAGCAAACTCTGGGCGCCTTGGGCATGCGGTGCGGCATCCCAGCAACGACGACTTAGGGGGCACAAAACGACCACCAGAGGGCAGTGGAGATGTGGAGAGAGAGAGAGAGAGAGTTGGGGGCATGTCCAGCCACGGAGAAGGAATTACTGATTTTTTTTGTGGAGGATACGTGATCTCCCAAACACTGGACACCAGCTGGCCGCAGCCAATCTGCCCATGTGTGCTGAGGGTGGTGAACATGAATGGCGTCCATGTGAAGTTTCGACAGATGGGTTCCTTCTACTTCCTGGAGGAACAGGTGCGACGCTCCGCACGCGTCACGCCTCGTCTCATTCGTGCTGCTTCGTTCTGCTTCGACGCGACGAGCTCGAGGGAGATCGGAGAACTGCAGCGCAGCCGCCGACCGAACGGACGAGTTGAAAGCACAGGTGGCCCGGTTGCTCTCGCACGCAGCTCTCGGGATAAGAACTTTGGGGTTGTGGTGTGTGTGTGTGTGTTGTCCCTTCATTAAGTTTGGGGTTAGGTTGGTTTGCCAGTTTGTATGAAGCTAAAAGATGCTAAACACCCAAATCCGGGTTGATGAAGTTTTGAAGCTCTCTGACATGATATTGTCGCGTCTTGGGAACTCCAAAGACGTGAGTCGAACTCTCCGAAGACCAGTTTCCCTGTCAGACCTGAGTCGAATCGTCCCAGTTCCAAGCGATCACCAGACCGGAGAAGGAAATCATGAGTCCACCGCCAGACCGCTTCACTCCAAATACCGGAGCCGAGCCTGGTGTACCTTGCGTGGTGCTTTTCTTGCGTGTTGCGAGGCCCTGCTGCGCAACATCACTGTCGTGTTGCTTTGGGTTCAGTCACTTGGCGCCATGTTTCTCCACAGGCCATGAGAGGTGGAAGACGTGTTGGGGTGATTGAGTAAGTCAACTGTTCCAGGAGTCACAGTGGTTTTTAGTCCCATCCAGTGAGTGGATAATAGGCACCCCTATCCTCCAATAGGCATCCCTTTGTGACTGCTGGTTGAGTTTCTTCTTTGGACTCACCTGAACGAACTCTACAAATTGTATACAAATGCACAGAACAGCTGTGATGTTTGACTATGAAACATTTCTTCCACCTTCCGGGGTTGACCACTTCAGATGGACATCATAAGTCTTCCCCACCTCATGTACAGCCGTATGGGCTCTATAGTAAAATACCAGAACGAATTCCCCCAAAGGCATGGTACCCTCCCATTCCCTCCCATGGGCCCACTAGTTCGGCAGAAGCGACGCGTGGCGCAGAAGTGAAGCGGCTTCGTTTCCACCGAGGTTTCCGGTGTTGATCTGCTACTGGCGCCGTCCTCGGCGAGTCAGTCGCGGCAACTCGTAGCGGGAGAGACACACCGAGGAAGAGGAAGGAGAGAGCGGTCACGTCCCCATGACCTTGGGGAAACCGTTGGTTGGTGAGTCTATTCTGAGTCTCATTGTTGGGATCAATTTGGGATCTATCAAAATTTATATTCAACAACTATTGTTTTAAGTAGGTTTGTTTCCGTTTCAAAAGTTCTAGCAGGGGGAACTGAGCAGTGCGCCACATGGCAACACCAGGTTTTGCATGCTCTTCCTGGGCATGCTTTCAGGGATCTACAGCGCCGTTCTGCACCAGGCGGGCCGGCCCCATGACCGGCTTTTTCCGTCCGATGGACACGGCCAAGCAAGCAGTTTGGGTGTTGGGATCTTGATTGGGTGTGACCCCCAATCTGCTTGGTGAAATCCGGGATGTAACATCCATTGGGTTCCAAGCCCAGGCTGGTCGTCTAAACGGTAGACTGGTCTATGTTCCTTCACCGAAACCGAATTCGCTACACACCGCACCGCGGGTGTTTGGGAGGATTCGTTTGGATTCGTTTGGGTGTTTTTCGTCGGAACTTCCCCACATATCGGGTGGTTGAGCTGAGAGACTCACTCACCACACCTTTCCACTAGTGGAGAACAATGAACACGGCCTTCCACTTCGTCCGAAACGCAGGAAGTGAACGTCGCCGAGGGCCTCAAGGGCTTCTCCGCGAGACTCTTGACCTACAGCAGCGCGCCACTGGACCGCAGTTGATTCACCACCACGTGGATTTTTTGGCATTCTAATTAATTTGCTTTGTTTGTTGTGCCGAAAGTGGTATTCAGCCGTCTTAGTTGTTTTTTTTTTAAGCTTCTATGTTTGCTTGGGCCATCCTATGCAGAATGTGACCACGGTTTTCAGTCGTAATTTCACATTCTGTAAACATCGGTGCCCCTCCTATCCCATGGCACGCGTCCCTGCACGCGCGCTGCGCGCGCTGCTCTCCGAGGTTCATGAACCTTCGGGGGAAGAGCGACAACTTGAAGAGCGACGGCGTCTCCAAGAAGTGCGTCTCGGAACGGTGCCTCGCCCCCGGAGAAAGATGGCGGCACCGTGGGATGGCGGCTCCGGGCCGACGGAAGAGCGATGTCTCTTTCTTATGCGGTCAAGCGCATTGTTTATGGAGAAAGAGGGAGAGATGGATAGGGCGATAGAGATGAAATTGTTAGAGGGTGTTTGGTGGGGCGTGTTTTTTCTGTGGAGCAGCATTTTGGGGTGCTCTCCCTTCTTCACCCACCATGTAACCAAGACAAGTACTCCTCTTTCAGAATCTTTCAGGCGCATCAAAACGGGTGTCATGAATCTTTCAGGCGCATCAAAAAGGATGTCCTTTCTTCCCCAAAAAGCATTGTACATATCCCTCTGCACCCACCCGATCCAACCTCCGAGGCTCTCAAAGATCTGCGAAAACTTGGAGGACTGGACCGACCAGTCTCGTTGGGTGATGGTAGCGCGGTCGTTTGAGGTCCCCGGTGGTTCAGCGATACGGCAGAAGCCTCCCAAGGAAGTCAGGGGGTCCAAGAACTTGTTGAGTCAACTTTTGGGGATGAAAAACACGACTTGGACGAGGACATATTCGTTGCTAATGAAGAGTAATGAAGCTTTCCAAATATCAACTAATGCATAGTAGAATGTTCTTCGATTCCATACTCCACCAATCCATCGCATCCGCACTCTTTACAAGAAGAGAAATGATCAAAAGGACCCCGAAAGCCCGCCAGGTCGTTTAGCCATGTTTCGCCCAACTTCGGCAGCTGGGATTCAGGTGGAGGACACGGTGCTGGAGCAACTGAGCCATGTGATCTTCCACAGTGGGCCCGGCACGGTGATGGCGGTGCGCTCTTTCGCAGAGTCGAAATGGGATTCGTTTCACAAGAAGCTTTTTAGTATGTCTTTGAAGTTTCTTAGTAACAAGAAGCTATATATATTAGGGTGGAGGCCAATTGTAAGGGCTTCGCCCGGGTGCCGCCGACCCCTTTTCAAGAGGAGGTGCTGACCGTAGCACTTCCTGTGGACGGCCGCAGGTCTATCTGCG